GCATTGCTTATTTCTTGGTTTTTAATATTTTCTATAAAGAAACAAGAAATCCTTTAAATTTCAAGGCTCTACAGTCCATTCTTGTTTCTTAACTGATTTATCTCTAATTCAGTTTAGTTTCGAAAAACTTGTCTCATTCATAATTTTTTCTGCCTTAGGCCAAATCTCAAAATTACTGTCAGTTTCTTTACAGCTACTGTGTTCAATAGGGACAGGAAGATAGAATGGCAACCACAAAAGGAAAACAAAAAACCAACAGTAGGCAAAAGGATAAAAGTGAATAGGCATGCCAAAGAGCTTCATCATGAAGGGAGCACTCAGCAAAGAAAGAAAGACAGTAGAAAAAACACAAATGGCTTTCTATATAGCTGTATAGAAATTATAAGAGAGAGATATCTCATGTAAAAATACAAGAACACTATTTTCATGTGGCTTTTAAAAGAAAAGGCAAGGCAAGGTAAAAACTACAGGAGCAATACTGAAAAACTGAGACACATGACACTGAACCCACATTGCCTTGAGGCAAAAAAACCTGTCTTACAGTTGGGGTAAAAAACAACATAGTGTGTGTCATCTCCTTGACCTCCCAGGCCACTAGCAAAATACAATTTTAGATACACATCTGCCCTTGCTTTACCATACCAGTGCCAGTTGTGAGAGTCAAATTACATGCATTGATGTGTATTCACTATTAAAGTATTTGTTTAAAAGAACTTTTATTTTTCTCCATACCCTCACAATCAAGTCATGGACAGACAATGAGGAGCCTCACGTAGTGATCTAACACTGACATTTCAAGGACTCATCTCTCTCTCTGAATTCTAAGAAACCTGTCTGAAAAACAAATGGCATTTAGTTTGCATTAAATCTGGTTTGGTTTTTCTTTAAACATTCTTTTATTAGTCAAAGTGAAATAGGAATATTGAAAATTCCAAGTAACTGAAGAATAGCTTGTTGAAATGGTGCAGATTGGAGAGGGAGCAATTCAACAGAAAACTGTTTCAAACTCACTCCTGTACAAACCAACCTGGATGCTGCAGAGAGAGACAGCAAAGGACTTGCACTATTGTTGTTCAGTTTTGTCTCCTGATCATTGTTCAGGTTTGTCCCCTGGAACAAATTACTCAGGCCAGCCACTCTTCCCTTCTGGATGGCACGCAAGGACTGGCGTCGGTATTCATCCCGGGCCCGGCGTGCTTTGTGGCTTCTTTCCTCATCGGCAGCTTTGGACCGGCGCACTGGATGGATTGAAAGGGAAGGGTGGGGAGGAGAGACTTTAGAAATACAAATAGGCATTTACCCCTTCCCTTACAGAAAAACTCACTACCTTTATTCCTACATGACCTGATTTCTAGGTCACCAGGTATGGCATCATGAGGGCTGAGTGATCCTGCCCCTCTACTCAGCCCTCATGACACCACACCTGGAGTTTGTGTCCAGTTCTGGGCTCCTCAGTACAAGAGGGACATGGAGCTCCTGGAACAGGTCCAGCAAATGGCAACAAAGATGATTAAGGGACTGAAGCACCTCACTTATGAGGAAAGGCTGAGGGAGCTGGGCTTGCTCAGCCTTGAGAAGAGACAACTGAGAGAGACCTCATTAATATATTCAAGTACATGAACAGAAGGTGCCAAGAGGATGGAACCAGATTCTTCTTATTAGTGGAAACCAATAAAATGAGATGTAATGGACAAAAACTGACACACAGGAAGTTCCAACTGAATATGAGGAAGAACTGGAGTGAGTGACTGCTCACTGGAACAGATTACCTAGAGAGGTCATGGATTCTCCCCCACTGAAGGTACTCAAGAACCATCTAGACGCAATCCTGAGCCATGTGGTCTAGGATGGCCCTGTTTGAGTAGGGAGGTTGGACCAGATGACCTACTGTGGTCCCTTCCAAACTAACAGATTCTGTGATTTTAAAGATGTATAAATTGCAATGCATTACCAAAGATGGCTAAGTGGATGACTTCCTTGATGCTTCAAATACAGGCCCACCACTAGAAGAAGCCTGCCAGACTCAAGATATCAATGATCTGATCACTTCTGACAATAACTGAGCCTATACATACTGTGATTACATCTGACACATGCTTTGGCTGTAGTAAGAGAAATTCTGCCTCAGGACATCATTCCCACTGGCAGAGCATCAATTCCTATGTTTCAAGAAAGGATGTTAATTACTGATTAAAATTAAGTCTGTCTTTAACAGAATTCCTTACTACTATGAACATAACTAGAATTGAAGGAGCTACTCCCAAAACATACAATTATAAAAACTAACATGTAGGTCTCACTTTTTGTTGCCAGTGTTGCTCTTCTTTCTGAAAAGCATATACCATCTTTGTCACAGTCTTATAATCACAGTTGTCTCCAAACTGAAAATTGTGGTCAAAAAGTGGTTTAAGTAACAATGGATAAAATAATAGCCACTGAAAAGGGCATGCTGATGCTATGGATGGGGTTGTCTCACACTTGAATCTCTGAAATTGTATATAAAGAACCAGAATCTGTTCTGGAAGAGTTAATACACACCTAGCAATGGCACTGACCAGGGAGTTACCTATTCCTGTAACCTGAAATAAGACTGCTGCTCTGGCCACTGCAGGTCAGGCATCTTTCACTACAGCTTCTTCATTTCAAAACTAATGTACTAACAAAGCTGTCTTCAAAATGGTATAACTTAAAGACCCCGAGAATTATACTGCAAATATCTGTTATCTATCAGTGCCTCAAGCCCCATTTGGATGATTTTTTTGAGTCACAAATAACTGCAGGCAGGCAAATTATTCCAGTACAAAACAAACCTTTAACATCCAGTGAAGCAAATATTAAAGAAGCTAGCTTTTGCCTCCAGTAGTAATTATCAATCCTGCCATGACTATCCTGGTTTAGATCATATCCAGTTCATAAACAGCTCACACTATTTCTTATTCCATTGTGATTGTACTTCTGACTGGGAATGCACAATATAATGCCAGACAGTTGCATTTCATTAGGCTGTTTGCATCCCTCTGGTTTGCACTCTGATTTAAAGAAAGCTGAAGTATAAATGAATTTGTGCAAATTATGAACAGGCTTAATGGGATCAAGAAAGAAAACTGCTCAAAGCCAAATGAAATTAAATAAATCCTAGTGGACAAAGGAGAAAAAGAGAAAAGACCTTTAAGTTTAGAATTCTATAATTATAATAAGTAGAAAGACATACAGTACTAAAAGCTCATCAAGACAGCATAATAAATGAGTCACAGACACTTCACATGTATACAACTGGCAGGAATTCAGTTTCTCTTAACTACATACCCTATAGTTTTAGCTAAACACAGTAACAATCAAATGTCCAGCACAGCAAATGTAACAGACCACTATTCATCTTGCAAGTAGTTATTTTTAATGGCAGATAATGTAATTTAAATATGTTACTTGAATAGCTCAAATATATTAGTTACAAAATTTCTGTGGTTTATCCTTTGTACTACTTGAATGGCTCGAATATATTAGTTAACAAAATTTCTGTGGTTTATCCTTTGTAAAGCCACTCAGTAATGGTCACTTTAAACGTGAACTTGATGTTTGCAACAAGAGGAAAGACAGCAAGGAAGATACTGCAACACAACTTGGCAAGGCACTCAGAAACCACTCATTGTCACAACCACAATATACGGATCGAGGTCAGACTGCCTGGAGCTTTCTGTGAGTCTTTTCTACTGATGTACAGGCTGTCTGGCAATGAAAAAGGCAAGGTATCTTCATGCCTCACTTTCCTCAGTAACAGACACTCTTTTCAAGAGACATTGCTACTGTATTTTGCAAGCTAATAAATCTGTACCTTTAGAAGCTGGTGACCTGGACTACATTTTCCCAAACTATCACAGTTTAGTATTTCTTATCATAAAACTATGGGGAGTTATCAAGTTAAACACCAACATTCAGAAGGCCTTCTGAAAGTATGTATGACATGCAGCCTTCCATATCCATGTATATATGTGTGTTTACATTTATGTACATACTCACACATGTATATGTGTCTGTATATATGTCAGGATAGGGAAGACTGCATATACATATAGATTTTTAGATACAGTCATCTCTTTCATATGATGAAGAATTTTTATTGAAATTTCCCTACTGAGGTATCTGAAGAATTCTATCAGAATTCTTCAGATACCTCAGTATCTGAATTGATCAGAGGTATGCATAGGGTCTCTTAATCCACTTTTTCTCAGTACTGGAGTCCTGTTTTTATCCCTATCCCATTGCTTATAGCTACTCCCAGAAACATCCGTCTCTTTCCCCTATGGACCTGTGTTTGTTGTTATGTTATTATCCCAAGTTTCTTTTAGAACTCAGACTGGTCATGGGACTTTGCAGGTAAATAATCAAAGTCACTGGCATCACTAACCAGTTTTGGTGACTGGAAACAGTATTGTGAATAAAACCATTGCAGTCAGGATTCTGCAAAAAATTTTTTCACTACACTCCAGACAAGATGATGTGTACCACATGAACCATCCTCCCATACTGACACTTCCTGCAATGTTATCTGTCTTGAGGAAGCCACTCAAAGTCTGAAGGCAAATCTGGACATATTTCTGTAGCAGTTTTTCTTGCAATAGAATTTAGTGAATATACATATTTCTGTCTTTGTATCTGAACCATCTCACTAGAAATAAGAACTTTATGCCTGCATCAAGTCTAGCACAAATATTTTAAGATAGAAGAAGCAAAAATGCTGCATTACTTGTATTTCAAGACAAATCATAGCTCTTCTCACATTAAGAAAGTGAAAGTAGTCAAGACTTCTAGTACTGCCCTATACAAGAAGAAATTCTTTTCCTGGACTGGTTGTCCTTTTACAGTAAATGTACATCTGGCATGACTTCTGTGCAAAGCACTAAATTGAATATTCAATATTTTCAGTAGGATTCTTTTTCTGGACTGGCTGTCCTTTTACAGTAAATGTACTTCTGGCATGACTTCTGTGCAAAGCATTAAATTGAATATTCAATATTTTCAGTAGGGAGATTAGATACCTGAATGATGCCTTCTGTCCTTAAAATCTCTGAATCACCACAAATCCATATACGCAGCATCAATAATTACTACAAATAATAATTTACATATTCTTCATCTTCCTTTTATATTACAGGAAATGTAACAAGGTGGGGAAATCAGGAATTTGTCAAGCTCACAGGAAATCTATAATTCTGTCAGGTCCTGTAAGAGCACTTCAACACCAGTTTTCTCTCCAGGTGTTGGTGATACCAAGAACATGTACCTCCTCCTTCACAAAATGAAGCACACTTCTGCCCTGATAGCACAGTAGCTCATATAGAAATGCTCAAGCTGCTCATGTAGGTTAGGTGCCAATATGATTTCAGTCTCAGTAGAGCAGGCCAAAAATGAGCTACCAAACCCTCTTGCAAAACTGGCAAATATATCCAAGACAGGTCTGTGCTGTCATCATTATCCAGTTATCATTACTGGAAATTTATAGTTTAAAGCCATCTTAGACATATCTACATGGCCTGTAGTGTGAACATACTCTAGCAACCAAGAACAAATCACAAAGCTGGTGTATGCAGCAGTTTTTATGATCCTAGAGGTGTCGGATTGAGTTTGCCTTGTTTTACCTGAACAGCAACAGTTTTTATGATCCTAGAGGTGTCAGATTGAGTTTGCCTTGTTTTACCTGAACAGTTTATGAGAATTGCTATTTATCTATGCTAATCTAAGTTGCCTTTTGAGTGAAAATGCAAGATTACCTTCTACATTTTCACTTAGGATTGGGAAATCCCTATTAGCAGTCCTGGCAAAGTGCTAATACCAAATCTTTTTATATATATGAGTATTAACTTATGCTGTGCTGCAGCTGAACTTGTTCACAAAATTTGCCAAAAACTAGAAACTCTCCACATTCTATAATCTATCTCATGCTTTTGAAGAGCTGTGAGTGGCATTATAATTTATATCATGCTTTTGAAGAGCTGTGAGTGGCAGTCAGAGATATGTGAAAGCAGAAAAACAACATGTGCTGTGAATATACATAGTAATTTTTAAATTATTTTGTTTTAGCTTTGCCCTGTTAATTCTTGGAAGCAGTTCAAAATGACTCGTTAATAGGTAAAATTCAATCTTCAAATTTTCTGAGTACATATACAAATCAAACAAATCTTCCCTTTCCTAATTGGAAAATAACTTCCTAAAAATACTCTGCAATATGGCTCTAGTTCAGCAATCTTCTTATCTGAAAGCATTTGAATAATCCCCTTCCTGTTCAACAACACACTCTGAGACCTACTGAAGTTCAGGGGGCAGATACTTAAGGTTAAGCACTTGCTGAGTTAATGCACAGCTGAACTGGGGACTACTCATTTTAAAATTCAGTATTTTATCAAATGTTCCTGCCAGTAAACTCACTCACTTGAATTTCTGCAGAAGATAAGTACCAAACAAATTCCTTTAAAAGTCAGACAAAAATAAATTCAAAGGCACATTTGTAGAAGAATATAAAAATATAACAATATAAAAGAAGCTATAATGACTCAGCCTGGTATCCTACTTCCAACATAGACCAAAAGTGGGTGCTTGGGGAAAGGCATAAGAATAGTTCCACTTACTTATCCCTGTTTATATTTTTACTGGGACTATTTTTTGTCTGGAGATGAGTAAAGCTGGTCAGATGGTATCTGAGCTCTTAACTTCTTGATGTGGTTTGCAGGGGTTTGTAAGTGTACTAACAGAATGCCTTTTGCAATATTCAATCAGATGAATATTCATGCTGCAGTTTTTCCTGCTATGTTTTGCAGATTCCTTTTCTGCTCTCCCAGAGAGAGGGCACACTTAAATACTAAAGAACCCTACAAAATTGTACAGCCTTTGATCAGAGAGCTTTGAACAGCAGATTCTGAATCAGTTTTTTCCACTACTCATCTTCTCATTTGCCAGCCAATAGACTTGCTTTACTTATTAACTCAAAACTGCCCTCTAAAATACCTCAATATATATCTATTATATGAAATCAAAGTGTGTAATTGCTCTTACAACATCATTTTTCCCTTTTAGTACTGATTTCTAAAGTTATTCTACAGTTGTCATTTGTTATTCTAAAAAGCACAAAAATTATGTATTTCAATTAACACAGCAGTACTATAGGCCTTTATTGTTATTTGGCAAGCAGCAGAAACAAACTGAACCAAACAATAGAAACTAATATTAGCAACACTTTGTTTGTTGCCTTGGCAATAAACAGCTGAGGGATAATGTGATGAGGAGAGATGAATCCTCATCACATTCTAAATTCCATCTACTAAATAAGTTAGTAGTGTCATCAGTATCATTGCTGCATTTGCTCTCCACAGTAGCTGCTCTAGCACTACTGTTCCTCTGCAGAACTGACCCCAGCCCTGTTGAATATGAAGTGCTGACTTTAAGGAGGTAAGACCCAAAGGAGCCTGGCCTTGTACCTAATGGGCAGTATGGTTTCCACTGCAGGTGTGTACAGGCAAAAGATGTAAATATTACATCTGCTTATAATTCTCTTAGGCATTCATGCATTTATTTATTGCTTAGAGATAACTAGTGGAAAGCTTTGCCTAACTTCACTACATTTCCTCAGTGTCCCATAGGAATGCTTGCAGCCAAAGTGGAAGGATCACCATAAAAAAAAATATAATCTGGAACTAAAATAAAAAATGAAAAATCTGGTGAACCTGTACCATAAAAAAATATAATCTGGAATTAATATAAAAAATGAAAAATCTGGTGAACCTGAGGTACTAATTAATTCCCTAGAAATTTCAGATGTTCCCACTTCCAAATATTTGTTGCTGCCTGTCTGCTGGACATTCTGGCTTCTGCAGTAAAGTTAAGGAAGTGGAAGATGTTAATATTCCCAAGGAAGCTCAATGCAAGGTCTGATGGCATAGTCTAAACTAGCCAGGAAATGGTTTCAGATAAGGTACTAAACATTACATCTTCATATCTTCAGTTGTCACAGCCATTTGCTAATGGAACACAGTTCTAAGCCCTCAAACCAGCTGGGATAAATTGAGACACTGAGATAAGTGTAAGAGGATAAGCAAGGATGTGATACACTCTAGCCATTGGTCTGCAGTTTAGTAATGCTAAATCAATTACTGATAACAGCATAAACTCTGGCAGCACAGAACAGTAAGCTGCAAAGCTCAACTGTGGTGCCACCAGCTAGAAGGTGCTGAGCTTTTGTTCTGCCACAGCAGCTTTATTATTGGTGAACAGGCTCAGTAGCCTGAAATCAAGTCAGCTGCTCAAACAGACAGGTCTGGACGTATTGAGACACACAGGCTGAAGGTGATAGAATTCCTTCAGAGTACAGAGAACACTCCAAAGCTTACACAAGAAAAAAGTACTGGTGGCAGACTACACCCATAAGCATGTGATACAGTCAAAAGTGTTTTGACACACCAGAAAGACCAATAGAGAAATCATGGTCTAAACCTTTCAGAGCTTATCCGTTTTTCTCTCTGCCTTCTTCCATAATTCCTCCCTTGCATTTCTGGTGTCTGTCCCTGCACAAACAGCATTCCTTGAGAAAACAGAAGCTACAATTTTGTTGTTCAGTTACCTCCATAATGCAATAGGAAGAAAATGATACCTGGTTTTAGCAGTGTTTATTGTATTTTGTTTTATTGCCGAGCTCAGTGTAAAGATAGGCTGGATTTATTTTTTTTTTTAATAACATGATTGCAAATGTATTTTCTTTCTTTATATACCATCAAAGAAATGCTAAAGTATATAATACCATCCTCTATGCTAGGTTGCCAGCTGATGCTAATTTTCTACAAAAATAAAGGGCCACTTTTTCCCCAATTCATTCTGCTCTTAAATACCCAAGATACAGAAAGTCACATTTTTTTCTTTCCATATAAACATGTACACAAAATTCTTCAGAAAATAATTACCTTCTCTTTATTGATAGTACAATATACAGAGGTGTTATTGATCAAAAATGAACATAGCCTGTTATGAGATTGGAAAATGGCACCAGCGTATCTTAGATAGATTTAATTCATGTTGTTCAGAATGATTCACTATCAGATCAATTCTAGGTAATAGCAGTTCAGTAATTAGTGCTCAGGAACTCCTCAAATGATGACTAAAACCAAAATAAACTCATTATATATTCTGAAACTTATTTTTTTTATTATTTCTGTCAGGAAATACGTAACATTACAGCAATATTTTTTTTTACTCCATGAGGTGTTTCATGCCACACATATCAGCTCCCTAAAACTTCATTTATAGTATTAGTTGATTAACCTTTGTGTTATATATAATTACTACAATAATCCCACATGAGCTAAAACTTTCCAATCATTGCATTTCCTTTTTCGGCAGAGTAATCAAATCAGTATAGATGTGAGAAATGGAAAAAACAATTCTTATTACAAATTTCCTGCTTCTAAAGTCAGCTATAAAATAGACTCCAGATAGACAAATACTTTATCCACAATAAGCTCTTAAAACTTATTTAATCTTAACATAGACCTGTATTTATCTACAGCATGACTGTATACATATATGTAGTAATAGAGTTGTTCTGTTCCTTATAGGAATTTTAAAATCACAAAACAATTTAAATTAATCACAATTATAATATTCATAAAGAATTTCAGGTTGTCTAAAAAGTAACAGCACATCCATATACTGAGATCACCATCATCATAAGGAATTTTTTCTAGAGCAACAATCTACTATAATCTTTTGAAATTGAGTTTCAGCACTGATATCATAGCTTTACCCCATTACCATATCAAAATAATTAAAATAAAGATGAAGTCAGATACTGCCTCTTCAGAGATAGCTGAGGACAAGCTGTCAAAACAACTGTGTCCAGAATTATTATTACTAAGCCAAAACCGTTAATTAAGTACATCAGAAAAAAAAAATTATCTCAGTTATTGTACATGAAAAATTTTCTATAAGGCATTGACAGGAGTTCAGAAAGAAATATGAAAACTTCTTTTTGTAAGGTTAAGTTGGTAATTTCTACCAAAATAATACAGGATTTTGTATTGCTCTAGGCAGAAGAGATTTTTGGCAACACCTTTTCCATTCTACAAGTCTCCCATTATTTGCTTTCAGAAATGCATTCATCCTGGGAAGGTAGTTTTACTCACACTGTTCTTCCCACTCCTGGTCATCGTCGCTGTGCTGACTATGCTGCTGAGCTTGCTTGAGGCTCAGGTACAACTCCTTCGCTCGGATTTCTTCCTGTTGCCTGATTTGTTCTTCACCCTTTTGTCTTTCCTCTTCTTCTCTTTTCTAGGCAAAATGAAGTAAGCCAGAGGTGATTAATGAGGAAGTATGTGCAAAAAGTTGGAACATTGCGTCAGTTGCTTCCTATCACAGAGCAGCTACGTTACCTTAGGCAAATCATTGTCTCTTCTAACTTTGGGATTTCACTTATCACAAGAGGCATAATTGAAGTTTCCTACCTCTTGGGAATTTCTGAGACTACGTTTTGAGATGCACAGATATCGCAGGAATCTACCTCTTGGGAATTTCTGAGGCTAAGTTTTGAGATGCACAGATATCGCAGGAAAAAGGAACATGTAAGTATCCCTGACCTAAAAACTATATAGAAAACATTTTATCACGTGGCACCAAATCCTACAATCCATAAGCAAAATTTGTTTCAAATCCACATGTACTCCCACTGAATATACTTCTGTCTTCAAAAGCACTATACACATCATCTATAGAATCTGTAGAATTCAGTAACTAATTTTCTGGAGCACTTAGTTTAGGAACTGTCCCCAGGCATCATCATAACCAACACAGGGAATAATGTTTCTGAAAAATCAAGATTGCTACATTCTGAAAGAAAAGACAGATCCTTCAGCATACACCAGTCACTTTGCAAAACGTAGCTAAAAGTAATATACCAAAAATGTTACCTTTCAAGAAGACCTTGGATAAAATCTGATGAAGATTGCCTATATAGCTGGCTTCCCTCATCTTATCAATAACATGGGAGCTTGATTAATACAGAACTAGGAATCTGTATCTGTTTTCTAGTGAATTTTACCAAATCCCTTAGATAGCAAAGAAGCAGATTTGAATCATTGTTCAATTGAACCCCCACAAAAAAACAAAATTGAACTTCATGAAGTGTTATTCATATTACCGAAATGACTTGAATTACAAAGAAGAACAGGGTTTTTTTTCATTTTATAATGGAATGAACACTATACCCTTTTCAATAACAAACTTACAGGTAAGAATACTGTTATAAGTCACAGAGTAAAATCACTCTGAATTACTAACCTAGTTACCTAACCTAAGCTGTAAGGGAAGCCCAAAATAGATTGTGAATTGTTTTGAAATGTTAAAACTATGAAAATTCTAGGGTGAAGCAGCTGGCATTCAGTTCAATAAAACCTGGTGAAACTTTGCTTTTTCCATTAGGAGGTCTGGGGGAGATCCTTCTGTCTTCCTTAAATAACTTTTATTTATTAAAGCTCAGAGGTCAGATTTCATAAGATTTTTGCTTTTGCATAATTTTCCTCCTTTTTGGTGGGATTTTATTGTTTCATTACAATAGGACCAGCAATAGTTGGGCACAGGAAAAAAACAAGCAAAAAAACCCCAAACCCCCTGATTACCTTAAACTGGAAAACAATTTTCAAAAATACACCAAGACATTCCATCAGTTAGCTGAGATGATACATTTGAGTAAATGTTTCTTAGCTACAGACCTTGTACTGGTGATTTTTTTTTCTTAAGATATCATATGCTGCAAATTCTGAAAATTGTGATCAGATAGGATTGAACTTTATTTCAGAGGAAAATCAGACATATTTACCTTCCTTTTTGTTATATTTGTGCACTGTGAACTTTGTGAGAGGGCATATTTTTCAAGTTTGAAAACAACCTTTTATCACAGCAGGATTCACAGTATGACAAAAACATGGTCTATTTTAATAAGTGCTACAAATATGAGTTAAAATCTGGGGCCAAAATCTGACTTGCATTATTCTCTAAACTCAGTCTGTGAGTTCAGGAGATGCAAAACTGAGCTTTCATGGTGTTGCTCATAATCCTGCAAAAAGTAACCTGTATACTTTGGGGTTTTTTTTTACATGTAGGTTCTTCTCTTCAGTGTTTGAAGATGCTATTCATCTCAAAGTTCACACTATTGGATGGATGAACTTTTGTTATAATTCTGCATCATTTTAGGATGAAAGGGGCTGGATCTATCCAAAAAGCTATATTAATTCTGTAAGACTATGTATTAATTAACACTTCTTTATGGTAAGTATATTGATAATACATTGGAAAATTCCTCATTTGAAGGTTTTGTGTCCTATCTTAACACCTGCCAGGGCACAAATACAAAAGGCAACCCAAATGCTATGAATGTCCAGAGAAGGTTGTTGTTTAATGTCCCTAAGAAGGACTCATAAAACACTTTTCATTGGTGAAATAGGTGTCTGGAATGTGTGTCTGGGAAACAAAAAAGGTCTTTTGTCCACCATTTAGAAGGAAAGGCTTTATTTTCTTTCATTCTCTCTAGATGTTCTGAAGTTGTCAGTTGGTAACCAGACATCTGGAATTAAAGGAAGACAACTGCAAATTTTTCCATCAGACAGCTTTGCAAAGCAAAAATATTTCTGTTTGCAACCATTAGAAGCCCTCAACAAAGTTCAGAGAAGGCCAGGAGTAGTAGAAGGAATAGGGATTGTTTGTTTTTTCTGCTCATGACTCACATAACAGGACACTAATGAAAGAACAACCAAAAGTCTAAAAAGAAGGAAGCAATTTCACAGGGACAAGCAACACCATCTTCAGAGTGGAAAAATGGAACAAATGCAAATCTCCATCCTTTGAAAGAACTGGAGCAGTTTTTCATTTCCCTAAGTACCATAAACCCACTTTTCTCCATTTACTACAGCTGAGCTACACCAGTGTACACCAGCAGAGGATCTGTCTTTTTGATAATACAAAAATCCATACGACCTGAAGTATTGAGTCTTTATACTGATGTACCTGTTTAGTAAAGAATAGTTCCATAACACACATGATGAACAATACATCAGGCTTCTCTTACTATTTCTGAGAAAGAAAAGCCTAGTCTTGTTCTTCAGTCAATTCTAATATTAGTATCTGTGATTATTTCTAACATCATCCTCCCATTATTATCTCCCAATTCCAAAGAACATGAGTTGAGTGGACAGTTAATTTTTTTGAAAAGTCAATGCTTTTAGTCAGCCCAGGTTTAAAAGAGCAGCTTTCTCAGGAAAAATAAATTCTTTTTTAATACCCCTATAGAATGAGGGATTCATATTTCAGTTGCTAGTAAATTGCTGAATTCCCTTCTTGGAAAAAGGATGAGATCAACTATTCTTTATTCTTATGATAGGAATATTTATTCACTTAGCTTCACCACCTAAAGAAGTTCAATACATCTAGGCTATCTTTTCAGGAAGATGGACAGACACAGAGGTAATCCTGGGTTATGGAAATGTTTTTTATTGCACATCTCAAAACACAAGGTAAAATAATATAGAGGAAGACAGGGAAATCAATCTCACAGCAGTTTGCCTTAATCACACACGATTTTATTAGAAGTTTAGGTTTGGTTTTAAATTCAGCTATTGTTGAAGCATTTCTAGTAAAACAATGAAAGTGTCTATGAGAAGAAAAACACCAAAACCAAAAAAACACCAAAAACTAGAACTCAGGTAGAGTTTGAGTTCTTATGGAAGGCAGCAATGCCTACTAAGAAAACCCTGCCTTTTCATTTTAACTTCTTTAACTGAGAACGAGGAGATTTAAGTCAAAGAAAAGATAATCCTGCCTTTTCATTTTTATTTCTTTTAACTGAGAATGAGGAGATTTAAGTCAAAGAAAAGATAATAACAAAAACTTAACACTGGCACTTGACTCTAAATTCACCAAAACTTTTTCATATCATTTTCCTTTTTAAGGAAAGAAATGTTTAAATCTCTATTTATTAAACTAGCACATGGATGTATGTGCAAGTATATTGTACAAGTTCTTAAAGGTGTGTGAGAAGGAACAACTCTTGCTAGTAAGACATAGGAAATGAACAGTCATCCTTTTGTCAAGTATGATTTAAAAGCATATGTTTGTATTTAAAATGAACAACATTTGAACTTTCTATATTTACTTCAATGAAAGAATACAGCAAACAATTTATCTGCTTCTCCCCACGAACCCAATTCTGCCCATCAGAGCTGAGAATGAAGAGCTATCATAACGTACAAACATGAACTTCTGCCTGACAGTACAGACTGTACTCTGTGCTGTGTCCCTTTCAGATCTTCCAGAATAATTAGGAAGGTGACAATTCAGTACAGAGCTGCAAATTGCCAAGAAATACCCCAACCTGCCACAACAAATCACACTGGCAATTCAACAGGCAGCAGCAATACTCTCCAGCTTTAACTGCACTGAAGGATTTGAACATCCTAAATGATCTTATCTATCCACTGGCAGTTGAACATTTGCCACAAACTTGTTACTGCCTATGTGTGCCTCACTGTATTTGATAGCTTTACTACAGTTAGCTCTAAATAATATTTGATATTAGCCATGGTTAGGTTCTAATGTTTCAGTCCAAGACAGATGAAAAGAGTCTAGGTCAGCATTTAGTTTTTGCTGCAGAAAAGTTTAAAAGACACACTGAGAAAAAGCCAAAATACAACAGTGGATTTTTTTATTTTTATTTACAATAAAACTGGGCTTGTGGCTGCCATGGTGCTTGGGGTCTCTCTGGGGAGTCTGGTGGGATGCAGGGCAGGTGAATGACCAGCATCCTGCTCAGGGCCAAACCCACAAGATGTATTTGTTACAACAGTCCTCACTGAAGCAAAGGATGTCTGGGATTCCCTCAATGCTTCAGGCTGGTAGGAAGCATCTGGCAGCCCTGAGAGCTGCAGCCAGCCAGCTGCACTCCAGCTGTGATGAATCTCCTGAGCCCACCCAGCAGTCACCCCTGTGCCAGGGTAGGCATTCAGGCCACCTGCTGCAGAGCTGAGAGCCTTTAGTACTCCTTCCTCTGAAAATCTGGAAATCCCAGGGTTACCTGCTGCAGAGCTGAGAGCCTTCAGTACTCCCTCCTCTGAAAATCTGGAAATCCCAGGGTCCCCAGCTGCAGGATAGCTTGCTCTCAGCAAGGCTGGCACAGCAGGCAGAGTTCAGACATGTGAACTCTGTGCAAACCCACCTGACATTTTCCAATAGAGCTGTGAGTAATAGCAGAAATACATCCAGCTCCTTCCCAGCCTTTTTCTGAGAAAATGCTCTTGCTGGCATCAGAAAAGAAACTGTTTGCAGAAGCATTATTTTCTTCTCTACTGCTAGTGTCTCAAAACGAACACAGTGTTTGCATTACTTTACTGTGCATGCATTTGCAGAGAGACAAATGTACAAAATGCAGTTACACTTTATGCAGAAGGAGCTAAGTTTCAGACATGGATATGCCCCAGGACATGCTATTCACATGTGTCTCATACAGGGAGTAAACAACATACTCAGTTCACAAAGATCCTCTTTTTGATGACCTAGAAAACAAACCTATAGACTGACTGTTCCTGACTGGGAGAGATCTGACATTTACTGCACAAGCTGGAGCAGACTCTGTTCAATTAATTTGCCATAGATCTAGTGACCATATTCTAAAAGTTTGTCTCTGGATTTTAGGGACTCTTCACAGCTTGAATTCTTAACATGTAAACTATCCTCATTAGTGGCTCAGATTTCCCTATTTGCCCATGGAAAATACTGGAGATTTGCTAGTTTTTACTATCAATCCAGAATAAAGACATTGGCTTCTGCAGTGCAATCATTACTGACATCATCAGAGAAAAGGTTTTTCTTTAATAATAATATCACAATTCCTCATAAGTAGGATAGAAAAACCTGAAGATCCAATTCCCAACTGAAGCTAACAGCTCCCTCTCTTCCAATATTGTTCAAGAGACAACTGCATAGAAAAGAATGCATTTCTGGACTGTGGTCACACACCAAAAAAAACCCAACCAAAATTAAGTGTTACTGAATTATTGTAATTGCCATTCAAATAACCCAACTGAGGCATTCTCAGAATGAACTGGGTGCCAAACCCCAGCAAGAAGCTGTTTTCATTTCCCAAATTCTAAATATGCTGTCTTTGGGAAA